AGGTGGGCTCATCTTTCTGTTTTTATTACTTTTTCTTGCTTAGATTTTTGTTGCATTTTGGTGAGGATTTGTGTTAAAATTTTGTACGAACAGGTGATCACAAGATACCTGCGCACATGTTTTGGTCTCAAGTTACTTGGAACATTGAAATAGAGGTAGCCAAAAAGAGAAATAAGAAAAAGGGGGGTCAGCATTTGGCTTTTAAGAGAGGATTTTGGGAAAATTTTACTAGAGCTTGAGTGGTGGTACAAGGTACGGCGAATCAAGAAGTCCCCATAACGAAGAGGAAAGAAGTCCCACCACCCAGACACTTGTCAACAGTCTTGGGACAGTGCCGAAGAAGTCTTAGGACAGAGCAGTCTGGGGACAGTCTTGGGACAGTACAGTCTTGGGACAGTGGTCTTGGGACAGGGTCTTGGGACAGGGTCTTGGGACAAAGGTCTTGGGACAGGGTCTTGGGACAAGGTCTTGGGACAAGGTCTTGGGACAAGGGTCTTGGGACAGGGTCTTGGGACAGGGTCTTGGGACAAGGTCTTGGGACAGGGTCTTGGGACAAGGTCTTGGGACAGGGTCTTGGGACAAGGTCTTGGGACAAGGGTCTTGGGACAGGGTCTTGGGACAGGGTCTTGGGACAGGGTCTTGGGACAAGGGTCTTGGGACAGGGTCTTGGGACAGGGGTCTTGGGACAGGGGTCTTGGGACAGTAGTCTTGGGACACTAGTCTTGGGACACTAGTCTTGGGACACTGGTCTTGGGACACTAGTCTTGGGACACTAGTCTTGGGACAGTAGTCTTGGGACAGTAGTCTTGGGACAGTAGTCTTGGGACACTAGTCTTGGGACAGTAGTCTTGGGACACTAGTCTTGGGACACTAGTCTTGGGACAGTAGTCTTGGGACACTAGCCTTGGGACAGTAGTCTTGGACAAGAGTCTTGGGACACGGCCGGAAAGTACTGGGACGGTACCGAACAGTCTTGGGACAGGAGAAAGAAGCCTGGGACGGTACAAAGAAGAGTAGGGACGGCAATTGGAAGTCTTGGGACAGTATAAAAATTGAAGTAAAATTACAAGAAGTGTTTTAAGACAGAATTAAGATAGAACAAGACTTATTGGAACCAGGTACGGTTGAGACCACAAATAAGGAAAGTTTCTCGAAAAGTTAATAAAGAGAACTGAAACAAGGTTTTCACCACGTTGTATATTTTTTTTAAGAAATATTTTTTTTTCTCGAAAGATTTTATTCTTAGAATAGGATTGTGTATATAGTAAAATTGTAAATAAGAGCAATTGTAAATAGAAATAATGAGGCGGAGCAGGGTACCGGTAGCTGAAAAAAGACCTACCGAAGCAAAGTATAATTCGTCGCTACGCAAAACAACATCAATGGGCCCAAAGATAACAAAGAAGAACTTTTCAGTTAACATGGTCAGCACAAGGAGTACAGCGGAGAACAGGGCAAAAGAGGGCACGGAAGGGGAACGAGTGGACTCCACCATCGAGATTGATCTAGAGACACCCGATCAAAGTGTGGATGAAACAAGGAACATGGCGACGGAGTCAACTCCGATGCCCAATGCCGAAGAACCAAATCCGAAACCCATAGAGTTCTCACCCATAGACAATGCGGAAGATGCAATAGGCAACACCGAAGAAACGGTGAAAGAAGACTCTCAAGTAAAAAAAGACATCTTTTACAGAAAGGTTGGCGATGGTGGTCGGAATAAAAACGAAAGAGAACGTGACTGAAGAACCAAAAGCTGAAAGAGCACGAACATTTGGGACAGTGAGCACGAAGACGACAGAAGCCAATCCGAGAGAGGAACAAACTAAAGCAGAAGCAACGGCCGAAGAAAGACCAACGGCTGACCATGAAGAGGCTACTCTTGAGCTAGGTGACTTGATGGCAAAACTGAATCAGATCGACAAAAAGCTGAAGCACAGCGAAGAGGACAGAGAAGTGATAAGAAAAGAATTAAGATACAACAAACACGAGTATCTGGATAGTTATTTTAACCTGGCTAAGGCAACAGACGAGAGACTCAAGGAGATGACAGATAAGGTAGAAGCCACCAATAAAGAACGAGAAGGGAACATCAAAAAAGATTTGCAACAGTTGAAAAACCGATATGATGATGTCAACAGCCAAATAGGTAGCCTGGAAAAGAGAATGGACACAATGAGCAAGAATCAGGCCGAAAGTTCATGTGCAATACATACGAAATTGGATGCAATCTTGAGAAATTCTACCTCACAAGAAAGACCGGCAGCGGATCGCACGCAAGGCACCAGAGTTGACTTCGTGGAACCACAAAGGGGCAAACGGCAATCGACACCGTTGCCCTTAACCCGGGATACGGTGAGCATAGCACCAACAGCTGCTAAAACAATCATGAAGAATGGAACGTCAAGCACAACGACTGGCCCGGGGGAATCAACAGCTAACAGCAACGCAGGTCCGGATGCTATGACATGGGCAAGCACTTGGGAGATGATGAACAGGACTCTAGAGGCCTTCGCCACGAGGAACACTGACTCGAGCGATAGGAGGGACGGAAAATCAAGAAAAACTTTCAAGAAGCCAAAGGAATTCAAAGACGACTCCGATGGATGCATCGACACTTGGGTGGAAGTGATGAGATTACACCTAGAGCAAGACAACTTAAATGATGAAAGACAAGCATGCACGGCCATACTTAGCAACTTAGAAGGCACGGCATTGAAATGCGTGGTCGCAAAGAAGGAAGAAGAACGCGACACCGCGGACAAGATCTTCGAGATATTACTGAATCGATTCGGGTCAGGAATGAAGGGTCACCAAGCGATGATGCGATTTGAAAAGAGAAGGCAGAGGGACGACGAGTCAATAGATCGGTTCCTAGATGATCTCGAGAGCTTGAGAAGAAGGAGTGACCCAGAGGAGTCGACAAACAGAAGAAACTTCAGCATTGCCTCGAAGTTCATTGATGGGGTAAAAAGTGATGACTTAAGGACAATGTTAGCTACATACTACACATTGTCGAAAGACAGCGCACCAACCCCAGAAGAAATGAGACAGAAATCAAGGGAATACATGCTGATGAAGCCCAAGAAATACTCATATTCGGAAAACAGGAACACACAGGGGGGAACCCAACCCCAGAGGTCATCATGGTACAAACCTAGAGATGACATGGACAAGCGCAGATCATGCGCGAACTGCAGGTCAGCGGACCACCACGTGGCTGACTGCACAACATACAAACAAGGCATGAAGAGCCTAGGATACGCACCGGATGAGGAGGACATGAGCCAGGTGGAGGAACACGAGTACTACAATGGCTTAATCATCAAGATAGGCGCTAGATGCTTCTTCTGTAACCAGGAGGGGCACTTCAGCACTTCAGAATGGATTGTCCCTTGTTCTGGGAAGCGGTCAAGGACCAGAGTCACCCCAAACATAAGTTGGCATTAGCGGCGGTGCAGAATCAGCGGAACAGGCAAAACGAATTTGAATCGAGGAACTTAGGAACAACAAGCACGGAATTGCCAACGAAGACAGTGAAAGCTGTAACACACGTTAATGGTGCGATAGAATCCGCGGCAGGGAATTCTCTGGTGATAAATTATGAGAAAGCGGCGACGGAAGCAATTGCCAAAGTGAAACAGGATCTGGCTGCGAAAGAAATAGAGCAACGACTAAAGCTGGAGATAGAAAGACAGAATTTTAACGAAGCATTAACCGGATCGAAACAAATACCAGAGGCTAAACCAGGCTCAACAAAGACCGGGAATTGCAATACTGTGAAAATGGTGACAGGTAAGCCTTTTGGCATATCGAAAATCGGGGCAAGGATAATGTCGATAATCACAGTGGGCGGCCACGAGGTAACCAGAAACTTGAGCGAGCCGAGCGACCAGACAATAATGCACATTGACGTGTATGCAAACTATTTGAGTGGTATAAGCCCACAAACGACTTCTAGAGCACTGAGAGCACTACTCATGAGAGGGGGCAGCAAGTCGGTACGTGTTGATAGCAGATATACTGAAGCTTACGGTCCACAAGAGGTGATGCTAAATATAGATGGGATTAACATCTATACCAAGACGATGATAACATGTGACGAAGACCTAATTGGACAAATCTACGTAGGGAAAGAAGAAATGAAAGTGAGATCGATTGGACACTGCGCCATGCTTGAGGAAGATGCAATGCACATCGGGACGGAGGCAGATGTGACAGGGCACGTGCTGGATATAAGTGGCAAAAAGACTCAGTTGCGTGGGTTGCTTGACACGGGAGCAGTCTTGAGCGTTATACCAATCGAAACTTGGGAGAAGATGGGCTTTGACAAAGGTGACTTGATAGACTCGAGAATACGGCTGTCAGCTGCAAACAAAGGGGCCCTACGGGTGCTGGGCAGGACGCCGATAATAGCCCTCAATTTGGGGGAACGTAACCTGTGGATGAGCTTTATCGTGGTAGAAAACCTAGATGAATCTGACCAATTCATTTTGGGCAGAGACTTCATCAGGAATTTCGACGTAACGATTGATTTAAATAACGCAATGTTCAGGATACGGAACCCGGATAGGAGGTACGCAATCAAACCGGTAAATTTAAAAATGGCAAATGAAAACAAAGCACCGGTATTCTTGAGTAGGAGGGTGAGGCTAAAAGCTAATGAAGCGGCAATCGTAAGTTTGAGGATGAAAAATTACAATAAACTAAGTGACAACAAGCAAGTGTGCATAGTTCCGAATCCTAATAGTCAAAGTGCTGCTGTTTTAGGAAGATCATTTTCGATAACGAAGAGCGGCCTCTGCGTCAGTGTCTTGTTGAATACCCTTGATATACCGATCACGATACAAAGAGGGAGGGAACTGGGATATGCTTTACCGGTTAAAACTCGATATGAAACAATTGAGAATTCAAAACAAAATGAAGTTGTTGATTGTCCCAATCACAGGGACAAAATTTGTATCTTGAGACGATTGCAGAAAATAAAAGATTCTTCAGGTCTTATTAAATCACTTAAGTCAGAAACGGATGATGGTCTTTCGAGCTGTTCGAACTTTCCAGAGCGACCCACACTAGATGAAATGCAAAATGAAAAACCGGTCCTGCCGGAGATTGAACATTTGAGGGGCAAACTGAAAGATGAACAGCTCGAAGCCATCAAGGACGTACTAGAGCGGAACGAGGAAGTTTTTTCGAGGCATAAGGCGGATATCGGGTGTTGTAATTTCGTTGAGCATGAAATAGAACTTGAGGAAAACGCGGTACCACACAGGGAGGGGGCGAGGCGCATGACCCCACACAAATCGGACGCGTGTAGAAAAGAGATCGAGACGTTACTAGAGTATGACATGATAGAACCATCCAAGTCACCGTGGGCGTGTGGAGTAGTGATGGCCAAAAAGAAAGGCGACCAGTTGAGGTTTTGTTGTGACTTTCGATACCTGAACTCCGTCACGGTGAAGGATGCCTATCCCATACCTAGGATTGATGAGAGCCTCTCGAAGTTAGGTGATGCAAAATTTTTTACGACTCTTGATTTAGGCTCGGCCTTTTGGCAAGTACCACTAAGGAAGCAGGACAGGGACAAGACAGGGTTTGCCTGCGAGTTGGGTCTGTTTCAATGGAAACGGATGCCGTTTGGACTTTGCAATGCCACAGCCACGTTTCAGCGGTTGATGGCACACGCGCTGATAGGCGTAACGAAGAAGTATGGCAACCTGGTAATGTGCTACGTGGATGACGTGGTAATAGCGACGCCAACACTGGAAGACCACATTGAGAGACTAGACGAAGTGTTTGCATGCATGAAGAGGTCGGGGCTAAAGTGTAAACCATCAAAGTGCGAGATACTCAAGGACTCAATAACATACTTGGGCAGGATGGTAGACAATCACGGCATCAGACCTGATACGGACGCCGTGGAAGCAGTCCTGACCTGGAAATCACCGAAGACAGAGCACCAGTTGATGAGCTTCCTGGGTTTCGCTAACTATTATAGAGAGTTCATCAAAGGCTATGCAGACAAGGTATACCCGATGCAACAATTAATGAGACACAAGGGCAAGAAGTTCACGTGGAACAACGCAGCAGAAGAGTCATTCCAGAGGATAAAGAAAGAGCTATGTGAGGCACCAGTACTGGGTATGCCGACTGAGAAAGGGGTGTACGTGCTGGACACGGATGCGTCGGTAGTCGCGATTTCTGGGATTCTCCACCAAGAACAAGAATGGAATGGGAAGACAGTCTTGAGACCAATAGCGTACGGGAGCAAAGTCCTGAGTGACACGGAAATGAAGTACGGAGCACCGAAAGCTGAAATGTTCGCGGTGGTTACCTTTGTCGAGAAATACAGGGCATACCTGGGCAGTGAGCCATTCAAGTTGCGAGTCGACAACAGAGCACTGAGCTGGCTGAAAACGTACTCAATGGACCAAAGTTACATTGGGAGGTGGATAGTTCGCCTGGACGGATACAACATGATAAATGAGCATAGAACGCGAGATAAACATCAGAATGCCGACAGCTTGAGTAAGAAGACGGAGTTCTATGAGAGACAAGAGCAAAGAGAAGCAGACAGACCTAAAATCAAAGATGGCTTCTCATTCATGGACAAGGAAACGTACGACAGTCTTCCACTCACGAGATGGCTGGACAAGTCAGGCAGACCGATAGAAGATCATCCTGAATTGCCTAAAGAGCCTCCAGAGAAGACCATCTTGAGGAAGAGCAAGAGGATTCCGATTGAGATTATACTCAAGTCGAAGATCGTGAAGGAGACGCTCAAGGCAAAAGGCTATGATCTTAACCAGGTGGAAGCAGGAACTGCACAGATAGATGATGACTTAATGAGGTTGCTCGAGAAACTATCAGATGATAAGCCCGTGATCCAGGAGAAGGGTCAAGAGAAACCGGAATTCACTATACTTCGGAGAAAAGAGACAGTGAACGATACTGACTCATCAAGAGGAAGCGTCACTGACAGCAAAGATGTCGTGCGGTCACTAGTTGACAAAATCCCCGAAGACATTTTGGAGCAGACCAAGGTTAGGAAAAAGAAAGTGACGTTCAAGGAAGATACTGAACACCTGGGACTAGGTCAAGAGTCCGGGGAGTGTTCCAGGTTCACGGAAGAAGGAACCGGAGAAGGAAAATTGTCCGGGGAGCGTGAAGGATGGGATGAAGACTCGGATGAGAGCAGCGAAAACCAAGACAGTCTGTGCATGATATTGGCGGAAGAGAAGACAAGGCACCACGACAGGGAGTTACAGACGGATCCATCTTCAGGAACATACAACATGGACATACAGGAGATGCGAGGTGGTGAGGAACTTGAGAAAATTGCGGTCGCAAGGAAACCATTCAGGGAACTATCATGCAACTCAAACATCAGAACGAATCTGGTGCCAGAAGATGATATGAAAATCGTGAAAAGGATGATATGCGTGAAACTGAGTGATGACATCCACAACCCTGGTGAGATGAATGGACAGATCATGGCGCTAAAGGAGCATGTCAAGGCAAGATATAGGCTGTCAGACCTAATAAGAGCCCAGAAGAATGACAAAATGACAAGTAACCTCTCCAAATGGATCCAGTCGGGGGTCAAGGAGAAGGGGGAACTTGAGGAAGACAGCTACAAGATCTTGAGCCAGTTCTACAAAGAAAAGAAAGACTTACTTTATCACACAGCTGATGGAGTGGTAGCGTGCAAGAGGAGAGATGAGGAAAAGATAATACACAAACACAACCTCATCATACTACCACAATTGTACCAGACAGAGGTGCTTTTCAGATCACACGACCAGATGGGTCACCAGGGGATAGACAAAGTACAACAAAGGATACTTCACAGATTTGATTGGCCAGGAATGAGAAAAGCTTGCGAGAGATGGGTGAATGCCTGCCTGGCATGTCTCCAGGTAAAAGACCCAAGGAAGATGAAGTTTTCACTCAAGTCAGTTGAGAGCTCAGAGTTCAATGAAGTGGTGCAGATAGACCATCAAAAAATCTGCATGACAGAGTCGGGATACAACCAGATACTGGTTATAATAGATCACTTCACAAAGTTGGCGGAAGCGGTTCCGTGCCAGACAGCCTCGGCCGAAGAGACATGTGATCATCTGATAACGCATTGGATATCGCGGTATGGTTGTCCAATGACTTTCCAGTCGGACAACGGCAAAGCTTTCGTGGGGGACTTGACAAAAGAATTGATGAAGAGATCGCACATTGCTCAAGCACACTCGACGACCTATCATCCGCAGACCAATGGGTTGGTAGAGAGACAAAACAGGACACTGGTCAACATGTTAAGGGTGTACTGCTCAAGATACATGACGGACTGGGACAAATACCTGCCACAGGTAGTAGGAGCCTACAACAGTACACAGCACTCAACTACGGGCATCAGTCCTTTCATGATGTTGACAGGCAGGGAGAGAGCAATGCCTCTGACATTCTTTTACCCAGAATACGAGGGGAAAAGGACGTCGCCTCAGGCATACGTGAAAGAAGCGATCAAAAGACAACAGGAGTTGAACGAGCTATGCAGGAGGAACACGGCGCAAGCGCAAATGAGGCAACGTAGAAAATATGACGAAAAAATATTAAGAGCAAAGCCATATGAAGTGGGCCAATATGTGTGGGTCTTCCAAAATGTAATACCGCCCAAGGGAACAAAGAATTTACTCAAGAAGTGGAGGGGACCATTCATGATAACGGAGGTTCATCAACAAGGACGGTTCTATCGCTTGAGTACTGGGCGAGCGGCACATTATGAAAATCTGAAGCCTCACGTCCCATCCCCAGAGGATTGGTGCATACCGAAGGACATGGAGGGTCTTGAGTACCTGGTGGTAGAGCCAGCGTGTGAAGTGAATGAGAAAGGCACTAGAGAGAAAAATGATGGTAATGAGAACTTGAGTTTGGACGACAATGAAAAGATAGGAGTGGAGTCTGATGCAGGATCATTTGTAGAAGAAGACTGGAACGACCCGGAGCAAGACGAGGTGCCAAAATGGATGGAACCGGATCGAACAACACCACCGGAAACCAGGACTGGCAATCGTAAACGCACAGGCATGAGGTACAACAGGTACGGGGATGACTTCTTGATCGATAAGATACAGCCAGACAAATTGGGCGAGGAATTACTGAAGGCAGGCGAACTGGAAGCAGGAGAGGAATGGCAGGTCATTGACGATGGTGGTCATTATCCGCAGGATGACTACTCGACGCCAGAATTAGAAACGGATCTCGAACAGAGTGAGATAGAGAGGAGGGAGAACACGAACTTGAGGATTCTAGAGTGGATGCGTGATGTCAAAGACGAGAGCCGCGAAGGACAAAGCATTCAGCAAGTCGATGTATCAGCAGCAAATTACATGAAGACAGAAGACCCTCTTTTCGGATGGACGGCAACGGACAGGCCACTGCACGTTCCTCAGGACAATTCAAACCCGACAACATCGACGGGGACGTCGATAAATATTTTTGTCCGGGGAGTGGGGGTAGGACTTACCCACACCGAAAATTTGATGATAAAGAAGCTCAAGGAAGTGAGAGAAACGAGTGAATTGGAACTGGAGGAAGAAGAGCCAGAGCCTACTATAGGTCGGAATTTCAAAACGAAATTCGAAATACCCAATGAATACTCGGAGAACATCATGATAACGGATAGCGACTTCATCCTGTCAAACAGGACCAGCGCGATCTGCATCACGGCGGACATGAGTTTCAAATCAAGATTGGAAGCTGACTTCAAAAGAGAGTACCAGAATGTAGAGTTTCTGTTCAGACAGAGACCAGGACTGGGAGGGATGGCAGCGCTTCCACCGTCAGTGGCACAAGTCCCGGGCAAATATCTGTGCTTCCTAGTAACGAGGGTCAATGACAGGAACATAATTGATCCCGAACACGTGATATTGGCACTAACAAGATCACGAGACTTCATGATTGAAAGAGGGATAACAGAGGTCTCAATGCCGGTGTATGACCCAAACAGGGGCAAA